ATAGGGTATTTTACGTACGTATTTAGAGCAGACGTGCAATTGTAAGGCGACGTTATGTAATCCAATTTAATCGTTTCGTGTTATTCTGTTTGTCTTTTAATGTAACCGAGTACTTGATAATTGTCATCTCGTCATACTTTATGTAAATCTCTAGTAATTGTGTTATCTGGCAAGATTTCGAGTATTATTCTATTATGTTAGTAATTATATAATGTAGTTGATTTTTGTGTTAACTTCATGCCGGGTCAACACTGATATGTAAGGTTGACCTGTAACCTGTGAGTGCCCCTTAGAAAAAATATTCCGTTAATAAATAATGAAAAATTTCTACTATTACTATTGTTGCTATTACGGTGCCGTAGATAGTCGATGCTAGTGAACGGACCACCGTTCATTAATTTGCTTGACTGTGCATCTAACTTCCAACTGCGGTTCAAAGTTATAAAGTAGTAGAAATTAATAGAAACACAATATTATTTATTGGAGCCTCTTAATAAATATGTAAATAAGTTCGTATTCCGTAAATAATTTAATATTGCCCCTAAAATATTTTTTACTACGACACGCGTGTAATACGACAGACAGTAATCCGGTCTAGTTATTGATTGCGTTCATGAAGGTAATGCGATTATGGTATAAGCAATTGTCCGAGTAGGTCCGTTCTTTACTAATAATAGTAATTGAACTATTAAGTTCGTCATAATGGATACTTTACTTACATAGAATGACACGGAAAATGTGTTATTATTTTATTAACTCTATCAAATAATAATTAAGTGTATAAGAAATAGTGTTATAGAAACCAATGTGTTTATATTTTTATAAATTCCAATATAATTTTGTTACTTGTAGTTTTATTTATTTAGAGGTTTTAAGGTGATAATTCACTAAAACCGTCTACCAATTTAAGTACTAAATAGTAAATCACGCACTTTGCATTAGACCATACAACAATAAACAACTGACAAAGATTTTGATCAAAAAAGGTATCTGTGATGATGTGAATCGAATATTCACATCAATATAAACTATGCTTTTTACAGTTCTGTAGACTTGTTTATTACATTTATCGACATAATTTTCTAATTCTCACGATAGTAGTAATACCTATTAAGAAATTGACAAGATACTATGGGTTTCTTTTATGTTTGTACAGAGAAAAGTATAGAAATGACAATAAGTTACAAACGCATCCGAATAAGACAAATTACGTTCCCACAGAGAAATTGCGACACAGTAATGATTAGGTTACAGATTAATACATATTTACATGTTTGTTTGACAGAACTGATATTTATTTAGATACTATTACTACTACCGGGTTGTATCTGGCGATAAAGGATTTCCCTAGCAATTTAAGCAAAATGCTGCGAGCGTTATGGGAACCTTTAAGCCAGGTACGATACGGAACAATCTTAGCAATTAACTTTTAGTTTTTTTTTTTGTTTTTTTTATTATTGTATATTTACCATGTAATTATTAATGTAATTAATTATAAGCTTTGTTACATATCTACTAATAAACATTAAATTTATCGAATATATTAGTTTTAGATACTCGTAAACATATAAAGTTCGTATAATTGAAATCTGTTAGAAGTGCAATAAGTAACAATCAGATAAATGTAGTATCGACATTGACAAAGATTGCCCTTGTCTACGCTAATGATTTATGAAGCATCTAACACTCGTATATTCATAATGCGACCTCGAGCACACAGTAGTCACTATAAGCATAGTTTTATGGACTTCCACAATATTATGACTGCAGTAAAATACGTAGGTCGGTGTCTATGATGTCATATTTGTATAACTAATTGCTGGAGGAAAGCTGTCCGCGACAATCCCAACAAGGGCATTTTCATTTCACGTATAATTGACCTTTACTGTTAATGAAAGTACATAAAGGTTATGTGTTGAGCTATTTATTAATTATACTTGTATGTAGTAAAAAAAATAGTATTTAAGTTATTTATTTATATTAATTCAAATTTGGTTATTAAAAAGTTTATACTATGTTTATTACATACTTAAAATACATCAATACTTCGATAACAAACCTTATAAAGAAATTTATAAGAAATCTTGTTTGTAGAAGAATCTTTACTTGTGGAAATAAACAATGAAAACCAGCATACATTTCCATAGCACAGCAGCAGACGACTATTGTTGTTTTGTAAAAGTCACAAGTGAGAAAATTCTGATAGAAAGTATCTGTTTTGTTTGTAACAACCCCTCGTGAATCGAGTGCCAGACAAGTAGAAAGGGGTTGCACTACGCCGGAAGAAATCTATGGGGCGTTTAAATCGACTCATTAGAGCCCACTGTTGAGTTATTGTCTGCCCTTACGATCAGTTCTAATTTGTCTGTATGTAAAAGATTACCATCTAAATAACAATTTCATTTAATTTGGCAATGTAATAGGTTCTAACTTGTTGGATTCCTTCAGTTAGAGTAACTTTAGTACATAGACATCATTACAAATTTTCACATTTATAATATTGCTAGGCCATATACTTAACTAAATATGTAGAACTAAACAACAAAAGCCAAGAGTAATAATTTTGGAAGGGATATGCAATTATTGATTAAACACAATACAATGTCATATTACATGACTCCTGTTTCCCACAATGGCTATACATGTGGCGAAATCAGTTTGTCAATTGTATCAGGTGTTTTACCTTTTAGTGACCACACAAACGCTGTGGTCACGGTACATGCGTGGACACAATGCGGTAGGTCACTTCACGTGCCATTTATAAAGCCGATTTCCAATTTGACGTTTTACGTTGAAAATTCCTAATACTCATAAAAATACAGAAGTAAGCAAAGTTGGGCGATTCGCTTGAGATGGAGTAACACTCTTAAAGAGGTTGTAGGTTGTCAATATATTCTGGTTATTCAGAACATCATAGCATAATCTTACGCATATGTCCAGAAGTGGACAAGGCAGGTTAAAATGATGATGATGATAAAAGAAATATCAAGAATTATTTTAAATTGAAGTTTGATTTATATATTTAAAATATTTTTCATTTAAATAACCCTTACATTACTCATTCGTTGTGCATTTCACTTGCGTAGAGTGAAAATTCTTCAAATTATTTCTTTACATACAAATAAACAAATATATAATAACACGCGATACTTACTAATTGACTAAACTATAGCACGTTATATTTAGCCTTATCTTCAAATGACTTTTATGTTTATTAGATACTTTATCGTGACCTAATTTTATAACAAAAAAAGTTTTGTAATTGAATAGACAATGTCAGTAATGCGTGACATCGTGTAGTACCTACAAAACTATTGAATTAACCGGCAAAATAGAACCGAATACTTTTGAATTATTAATAAAAAAAAAAATCTTCAAAAGGAACAAGATGTAACAAAATCATAACACTAAACTACAAGATTATTGATGGACGGACACAATAGGGTAGCTGGATTTATGAACCAAATTGTCCGTGTCAATCTCCAATTGAACTTATTAAATTGAATTAATGTAGTTAGAGTTACAAAATAGAAAACTAGTACACAATATGTGGCGGCACTAACGATGAGTTATTGTTATTTCACCTCTGGGTCTACGGATGGTCTATAATTGTAGGGCTATAAAAATACATTTAAGAGATGTTCCGTACCATACACGTGGCACCTAACATTCCGTAATTTAATGATTACAAGTGGATAATAGTTATATATGCAAAGTCCTAAATATATTTAAGTAAAGCTACTAAAGTTATTTTTATTATCTAAATCACGCAAACTATTTGAATTTTACACATTGTTTTCTAATGTATAAGAAATTATATGTAGTTATAATTGACCGTCATTCTTTACTACATAACATCCTGTTTCGTATTGTCAAAAGTTTTAAGAGAGAATTAGAATAAAAGTGCGCCATTGATATTGCGTGGATTAATTGTTTTATAAAATACCGAATAAAGTAATTATGTAAAACTCATACAGAAAAATATACTGAAATAAAATATCACCTTGAATATTTCCGAGGTATATTAATTATACGTAGTGTATAATTTAAATGAAATCAAAGAAGAGTGAATGTTACGCAGCAAAAAGGGTAGGGCTTTTAATTAAGATTAATTGACTGCCAGACGAGAAAGAGTTCACCTGGTATGCAAATTCTGTCAGATTAAAGTCTTCTTAACTTTTTACCCTTTTAATTACACCGAGACATTATACCTCCGTGTGATGTTTGTATTCAGTTATTAATATATCGTACCTTAATTTTTATAACGACCCAGAGTAGACACTTTTGACTTACCTGTAAAAGAAGAAAATAATTTTGAATATCAATTTGAAATCTTAACACTTTTCGTTAAGAAGCTAAATAAAAAATATCTAATCAGTGTAAAATAAAATATAATAAAACTAAATATGGAGAAGTAAATAAATTTACGAATTTATAAAAATATTTACTATATACTATTACTATGTTCTGTACTTTTATATTATGACTGGGAAATATGAAACCAACATTTCGTAACTATAACAAACTCGTATATGTCTGATGCTATATGTCTGATGTCCGAAATAATAACGCCACCCCTCTGGGGAAGATTGACAAAATAAATAACTCAGACCAACGCTAATATTTACGTCAGTTACTATCTTGTTGCTTTTTCACAGAGCAATATCAATATCCAGTAACTTATTGTATAAATAAAAGTTATAGCGCGTGCTGACGGAGTAAGAACACAATTGGAAGTAAAGTGTAAGACTTTACTTCCAACTCTATCCGAAGGAAGATGCCTAAAAATCACAAATATAAGTACAACGGTGCAAGAGATGGAAAACATAAAATAACACTATATTAATTAATTGTTTTAAACATTACGAACACTTTCTATAATCAACGAAGTTTTCTATTCTTTAATCAACATGATGGATTACACGTATTATTTTTATTAAAATGTATAAACATATAAAATAAATTATAAAATTACTAATTTGAGTATATATTTGTTACAGAAACAGCAATGAAGAAAAATAGAAACTGCGAAAGTGGATGGTGGGTGGTATTGCTGACAGCCACATTGGCCGCGCCTGTTATGGGAGAGGCTGCCGTCGGTCTTTACAATGCCAGACTAAAACAAGTAATTACATCCAGCACGCTGAAGTGGACCAACATAAAGAAAGAAACAATGCAAAATTATGTCATAGGAGCTGATTCAACAAATGGTAAATAATACTAATTCATTTCAAATCTAGTCAACAATTATAATTTTTTCTGTTAATACAAATGTAATTTAACAGTAAAAAAATACTTACGTATTAATGGAATTGTATTAAGTCAGATTATTAGAATAATTTATTGCTTATACTATAATATTATATTCAATTGTTATTATTTTAAATAATTTTGCAACATAATTAATGAAAAGTAAAATAATAATTATTACTGTCTTCTATTCTTTCAGGGCCAATATATCTCTGTCGAGCGCGCCATGAAGGAGATATGCTGCTAGGTCAGTTAAGGCCTAATTACACACATTGTGCTGTATCAGGATCTAAAAGTTATACCGTATTCGAGGTGCTTGAAAACATTGAAAATGCTTCCTTAATAAACTGGCAAAAGTGGTCCAAATTTTATTCTAAACCTAGTGGAGCAGTTATAGTACACTCATCTGTGGATTCTGTTTTCATAGGACGACATACCCCCGAATCTGAAGATGGATTTTCTTATAATATTGGAAGAATATCTTACGAGAGTAATATTGGCCAGTTAATTACATTTGATGATAAAAATAATGAGTTCAGTGAAAATACTGGAGAAATATTGGTTGAAATTGAACCTGTAAGTTACAAGATAGAAGATGTTGCATTAGATGAAGAGACGTTGCATATCCGACAAACAGATCCAGAAATATTCGGAGAAAGAGTATTACGTAACGATGGCGACGTACCTGCAGCAGATACTACTGCTATTGAATATGATTTCAATTATACTCTATCTTGGGGTCATGGTCATGGAATTGCTATCGGTCTCAACACTACTATAGTACTGGCAAATGGTACTGAATTTCCACAAATTGAATGGGCTAATCCATTTACAGAAAAAATTACAAGACTATATAATTTGGAAAAGTTTTTAGAGCCAGGTACTGCTTGCAACGTGACATTTAGAGGAAACCGTACAGAAAGAGATGTGCAATATACAGGCCAATTAACAACATATTATAATAACCACCTTCCTCGTACAAGACAAATGAGAGGTGAAAGAATAGAAAACACATTAGAGGTAGAAGCTATATATGGCGATGTCTATTTTGTTGGTAACAATAGCTTAGTGCCTACTACAACTACTACTACGACAACCACAACGACGACCACTACTACTACAGAACCTCCACCACCACCCCCACCTGCACCAGAAGAAAATGACATTGCTAATGCCTTAAAGAAACCTGAAGAACCGATGGAGGACAATAACATGTTAAATGACAGTTCCATGGCGAAAGCACCGCCGGTAAAAGAAGTCAATAGTGCCGTGGTTGGCGGGCTCGGTGGTAATAATCCCAACGGAGCCCACATGAGTATCGCTTCCATTGTTTTATTCATTCCAATACTCGCGCTATTACTTTAAATCTCGGAGATTTGTTCCTCTGTAAATAATCGAAGAATATATACTATAATAACAGTTGCTTGATCATGTATGTATTTGGCAACTAGGCTTGACACTGTTATTTGTTGACCGGGTGTAGGCAATAAAATATCTTCCTCGGTTCGATTTTGTAAATATGATATTTTCGTTTTGGACATTCCTGTTATGTGATTTCATTCCAATATGTAAAACGAGGAGCCAAAATTATCACATAACTGTAAATAGATTATGTAAATATGTAGTTACAAATAATATGGAAGTCGCAGAGCGACATGAAGAAACCTTGTCGTTTATGAGTAATGGAGGTTTGTAACACCGTAGTTAGAGATAATAACAAGTGAGTACGATTCTGTTACCATTTTTTTACGATAGCTAACACTATAAAATGATAAAATCAAGATAATTGTTTTTAAAGAAAAAGTTGGAAAGCCATGGACATAAATTCTACTATTATTAAAATACATTGTTAATCTAGTTTTGTTGCCAACTAACATATTATGCTGTTTCGATTTCGTGGAACCTTTATAAAAGTTCTTATCCTACTATACAGTTACCCTTCAATGTTAAAAGTATTATTACTATTATATACTTAACGATACTTACCAATATAAAATTTAGACAAGAATATTTAACAAAACCTTATTACGCTCTCTTGTCATAAACAGAATAATATCTTGGTCGATTTGTGACTTCTTTCAGATGGAAATATAAATAATATGTACATTTTACATGTTTGGCGACAATAATCTGACATTTGATTTTACATAACTTGTATCGTATTCCATTTAATATTTATATAATTATTCAATTACTGAATACAATAGAAAAAATAAAACAAAAAAGTACTATGTTATTTTAGTACCTAATCCCCGTTTTGATTAAAGTATTTTCTTTATATGTAATTGTTTTGTTAGGTTGTAAGTTACAAGAGTTTTTAAATCCAGAATTAAGAGATATTATTATTTGTAAAGCTTTAGTGTTTATCAATATTTTAATTTATTTTTGTTTTTATTAGTTTTTACTTATAAGATACTTCAAATAAATATACAGTTGATAACATCTAAAAATGCGACTTTGTAAATTCTTACCAAAGTTACTTTACTATATAAGTTTACCACCTTTTATTCCATTAGATACAAATTGCAACAGTGTCCCTTCCTTATAAACTTCGCAAAAGTAATTGTGTAGGAAAATCCTTAGAAAATTAACTGTTTCTGACAACAGTTATTGTTAACGCTTAGTGATTTTGTCAATGTATAAAGAAAATGGATGATATTTTTGTATGATGGTAGATATCGATTGTAAGTGTTCGCCTTAAGTAAGTGAAGTTACTTCAACGTTCTAAATATTTTTTTCGATTTCAATATAAATCTTTGAGTTGCTAATACTTAGTATTTGATGATATTTTTCTGCTGGTAAAGTTAGTTATTATAGTAATAAACGTTGATTATTTTATACATCAATATCCCACCTAGTATACCTTTATGAAATAGGTTACAACATTATAATTAGTAATTACACTTTTGCTTTTATAAATATGTTTGCTTAAATTCGTCAATTGATGTTAGATTTAATATTATTACACAACTCCATAAAATTTGTTCAACTTGATATTCTAGAGAATGACTGCTTGTATCTCATGTTAGGTATTATTACTGTTCTATAAAATAATAAGTATTTTTTTATCTTTACAATAGCTACATTCTATTATTGTGTAGTATCCAAGCGATCGCTACTAAATTGTTAATTCAGAATCTCATTAACACTAATATTGTTTTGCAAAGCATAATTGTGATGTTCCATGTAAGATTTATTTCCTTAAAAATCATTAAAGTGTAATTGACAAAAACGTCTTTTATTACTCATCAACTCATCGATATTACTTCGGGTGCAGGATCGAAATTATCAAACTAACATGAATTTATCGTAATAGGTGACGAAGAGTACAAAAAAACATAATACATCAGTGTAAGACAACGAATCCTTGAAACCTTTATATAAAACTGCCCATGAATCAGTCTTTATACATAAACAGCACCATGGAAATTACGTAATCGTGTGATAATGACAGTGAAATCTTTAGTTATGCCGCTGTGCCTTGCATCTTCTCTGTCACATCTCACCTTTCATCACATCTTACAAAGCAAAGTGCTTGGCTGCAGAAATAGGTGACACAGTTACCTAATAATAGGTCAAAATATTTTCCTACTCTAAGGAGTCTCGTTACAGCTTCGGTATGAAGATTATATTGTTACGATGATTCTTATACGTAAGTATCATTAAAAAGATATGTAGTATTACTATCTGTTTTATTTAATTCAATAATATAAAAATTATGTCATGTTGCTTTGGATATAATGTTTCCAATACTTTATCTCGTAGTGATATAGGTATTAAATTCAACAACGTTAAAACACCCTAACGTCTGGGGGATGACAGCTATGGCGTCGCGATATTGACACTCACTACTGCATCGCAATACACTTGCGTAATGAAGCCTAATAATGTCTGCAATTAATACTAGAAAGTATGCTTATAGCAAAAATTTTGTACAAAAAAGGACAAAATTTTTGCTAATGTTATACATGTTTGAAAATTATGGATACAACTTGTTACTTAGAAAATGGCCTATATTAACTGTATGATTGTATGGCAAGTCTATCGTCAACGAGGTAGGCAGAGTAGAATCAAGACATTGTGTTCCTGAGCGATTATTTATAGGCTATGAAAGTATGGAGACGACATTGAAATGGAATAGATACTGTTCTGTTACTTCTGTTAGTCATTTATTCATTAATTCATCTGAATATATGAATGATTGGAAGGGTTCAACAGTTCAACATAATCATATTTAACTAGAGTTCGTTCATATAATACCATGGTAGGCATAATCCAGATTTCGAAGCGCATTTTGGTCTGCGTATCCCACACTAATATATTCTAACGCCGTAACTTCAAAGTTGCGCTAGCTTCTACTATACATCATTGTAATAAGCACATTATATATGAATACGATAAAATTTAAAACAAATTAGTCGGAATTTCAACATCCTATATTAAATTTTATCTCCTATTACTTTCTGGGCTGTCAAATATCTCTTTATAGGTATATTGAGAATAGCTTTCTTTGTGTGGTCTTTTTCGGGTGAATATTGATCTGTAGATTACTACAAACCTTCATAGTATTGTTCACAGGTAAATTGATTACATTCAAGTCAATTATCGTGGTTGAGTGATTAGCACTACCACACTATTACACTAATCGTCATGTAATACTCCTCTAAAATATATATGTAAAACAAACAAAAACGTGTGTTGTATTTCAATCGGGCTACCACATATTCAGTACCGGTTTTTCTAATAAGATATTCTACTTTGAGGACTAGTCAATTGAATATGTGGCACTTAATATTATTGTTAATTATAATGGAAGTACCATTTGCTTGTAAGTTCTAAAGTAGACGTTTTGGTGTAGGCGTTTGTTAATGCGATCAATTATCGCTCGATGAGGTCGCAGCGGGCATCTGTCCCTCCCGTAATTATATTCGGATAATCCGTGTCAGCTCAAAATAAAACAGGTCTCTGTGTACATCATTATCTATTTATGCTAATGTAATGATATAATAAAATTTTATTCTGATATATCTTAATTAAAAAGTAAACATTTAATTAAGTGCCAAACAAACAATACAAAGATTCACACGATATCGACTACTGTGCAAATTGGTTTGCACATAATAACGATACGGGCACATGACATCAGTCTATTAAAAAAATTTTGTCTACACTATCAAAATACCACTGTCTAGGATAACCAATTCAAAAATATAGAGGTCCGGAAACCGCATTTTACTCGTAGATCGCAGATATTTACCTCGATAATATCAGATAGCATTATACATGAGTTTATTACACTATCACGCGTAATTGGTTAAATGAATTTGAGTTTTGGTACTGATACCCTAGCTAACATCTAGAATTGACTTGTTTGACACTATGCGACTGCCGCATTACATTTTTGTTTGAACATTTTAGAAAATATCTTATTAGGGATCATCTCCTTTCATATAGAGGGCATGAATATTACTTCATACATATTAAGAATTTACTACTCATTTTACTAATACATTACATACAATTAAGCTGCGGGTGGTAAATGATCACTATAAATATTCTATAATACCATTTTTTTATAACTCGTCCAGAAATAGTTATATTTATATAATCTAACCGTTCATACATATTGTTAATGACATGCACGTGGCATGTTATATTCGTGGTACCAATTTCTGAAGTTTTATAGACCTTATATATATATCGGTCACGCATTATGCTGATTGGAGTTTAAGTATTTAAAAAGTCATAAAATATTATGAAGATACGCATAGAAATGTAAATAGCTGAATGCGCTATTGTAAATGCTTGTGTAACACAGCCAACCCGTGTTATACAAACCTTAACAATAGCAAACTTATTGTTTTTTTTTTAATTAAGAAACTTATTACCAACCTAAAAAGTGACTAATATAAATGAATATAGAGAAAACGAGTACAAGTAGATTTTGTAGTAGCTATTGGTAGAACTTAGATAACAAATAAGGTTCTCTTGTTAGTTAGCAGAATTCAACTAACTTTAATAAACTTTAAATGTTATTTGTGATAATATAAAAAAATAGCAAGGTGAACATAAGATTAATGTCAGTCTAAATAAATGATTTGTGGTTAATTCTCGTAATTTGACCTTGATCGTATTAAATAGTGTACATGTTATGTAATTCACTAATTCTATTTTTTTAACTGGGTAACTTGGATTAGCTGATAGAAAATTTGAATATACGTATTTACTTACGAACTTGAAAGATCATATGGGGGCACAAAATGGATTCATATCTTGCAGTTAGCTAACATGTTGACTGTCACCCTACCACTTCACACAGTAATACTTTACGCGAGTTAGTATAAAAATCTATTTACCTTTTTAAATAATATGTAATTAAATATGGGTCAACATATAGGTAGCTGAAAAAATATCCCAGACATGAAACATTTAATTTTATATATAGTTTTAATATGATATGATATAATACCTACAATTTTATTAATCAAATAATAGATGGTATCATTATAGATGTTTATTATTGTTCTATGATTTTTAATCAATATACGGAGTTTGCAAAAGTTATATGCATAATATAATAAGTTGCGGGCATTTCTTTTATACCTATAATAATTTTAAATTGGTATCATGTATATAAGGGGAATCTTATCGTAAAAGTTCAAGGCGTATTTGACATTTGTGGGGTGTTTTAGCGAGGTCCATTCGCAAGACTAATAAAGAGTGCCCATTACATCGAGAAATGACTTGTATAAGCAGCTCAAACGTAAGTATGACGCTATAAAATGCCGGAGAAGCGCACTTAAAATATGAAATAAAAAATATTATAGGTTTTAGAATGTCAATGAGATATTTTGTAAGAATATAGTGTAGTATAATTTATTAGAGAATAATATGATAAACAGATGCATATATATAATTCTCTTGAAGTATCATACATGGTATGCATTTATTCTCCATAAACCACTAATAAACTAATAATGCATGATTTTTCTTTAGGTGTATCACTTATTACGGCTGACTGATCAGTGATAACCGGAACATAATCTCTTGTATTATACACTTTTAATACATAATAGTATGTTCAAAATATAATTATTTATTTTTCCAAACTCTCAAAAAGTATTTCTTGTAATCTTAATTCTTCTAGATCTAGATTCTTTTAATCATAATGGCTTTAGTTATAATAATCTCAGGACAATTCACACAGCGTCATTTAGACCCAAGTTAAGCTAGCTAGAGCTTGTGTTATGGGTACTAGAGAACTGATACAAATATATAGACACTTTTTTTTCGTAAATACATACATATTATACATAGAAAACACCCAGATCGACACGAACAATTATACTCATGAATACAAATGTTTGTGTCGTGCGAGGAATCGAACCCGCGACCATCGGACGTAAAAATGTGTGCTAAACCACTAGACCACCGAGGTTGTTAATGTATGTATTATGTCATCTACGGCACTCCATTGTCATTCTATTGAAGCACTTATAAATAGCACAATTGGCACCTTGATAACATGAACGTTTGAAAAACAAACACGTGTAACACATGGCTGTTACAAATACTGTAAAGAGTTTAGTTTTCATGGACGTCGTTTTTCAATTATGTGCATTTCTTTTCCTTGAGGTTATTTATTCGATGGCAGATGGCGGCAACGACTCGCTACCATACCGATGGGACTGTAATATAAAAGTTCAGACAGGAAGAAGGGTAGAAGAAATATGGCTAGTAATCAGAAGGATTTTTTCATTCTATTGGATTGAGCATTTGTATCTTTTTTGTAATAAAGTAATACAACAAATATTAGGTGGGTTATTTTAGCAAATAATATTTGCTGTATTATTGTATATATATGTATTATTGTAAAACGCTTACTTAACTTATTGAATCTATAAAAATACATAGGATTAAATGTGTTGAATTCCATGTTTCCAGACGCATAAGTTTTAGGTGTATTTACCTTTCAAACAGATTTACCCTCAAATTAACAAAGACTTCTACGTAAATGTCTGTCAAATCTGAGCTGTGTGTTAGTGTTGCCTTTCACTCGAGGCGCATTCAGTTTTCTTTGTAAAGGGACGAGACATGCTCAAAGGCAGACTGCAGGCAGTTTAATTATTCCCCACATGCGGGAGGGAGACGGAAAGAAAGAGACAAGCAAAAGCCTTTCCCCAAGGACCCCTCATAGGGTCTATTTACGAGCTGGTGCAAT